TTGTTCCTTGCTTCCTTGGCCTTGGTTCCTTTGTTTTTGTGGTGCTGTTTGCCTGGCTTCTTGGTCTTGGTTCCTTGCTGCCTCGCCACGCAATGTAAAGCAATGCCGCGCACTGCAACGATGTGACAAGACATGCCAGGTACTGCCAATCAATGTCGAGCAATGCCACGCAATGCCGAGCAGCATGCCAAGTGATCTGCCAAGCAATGCGCCAAGCAATGCGCCAAGCAACATGCCAAGCAATGCCACGCCATGTGCCCGTGCAGTGGGGAGCTCTTCCGTGATTTGGACAGTTTTTTTTGGGCCCCTCCCGAACGACAGGTAGGGGTTGTTAGACTTTCAGAAGAGAGCTCCCGATCCGCCTCGCATGCCCTGCATGCCGCGGCCGCCGAGCCCGCAGTGTGCGGCTGCTCCCCGTGTGTATCCCGCCGCGCGTCTGCGACGAATGACGACTGCGCGCCGTGGCGGCCAGGCCACAGGGGTGCCGGTGCTCCCTGAGGATCCCGCTTCGCGCTCTCGGGTGGGGATCGTCGAAGCAGAACACATATATATATATATGTATACATGAATACATGTATTCACACATATATATATATATACATAGAACATATATATATATATTCCCCAATCAGAGCTTGCCTCTGTAGGGGTCCTAGCGGATTCATATGGTTAGATTAGGTTTGTCGCCGATTTTCGCTGCACGCCCTGGTGCCCGGGTGCCTGGGTGCCCGGGTGCCCGGGCGTGCCTGGGCGTGCCCGGGGGTGCCCGGGGGTGCCCGGGGGTGCCCTAGAGCCCTATAGCCCTTAGCTCAATAGCCCAATAGCCCAATAGCCCAATAGCCCAATAGCCCTATAGCCCTACAACTCTATAGCCCTATAGCTCTATAGCCCTATAGCTCAATAGCCCTGTAGCCCTATAGCCCCTTAGCCCTATAGCCCTGATGGGGTTTTTCTCCGGTATCATATATATATATATATATATATAGATTCGCTCTCTCTCGCTCTCTCTCCCTCTCTTTGTGTATAGACGTGTGCGCCAGGGCAAATTAAGGTCCGACGTGTCTCTTGCATGTCGGCGTGGAACGAGTAGCTCCGTCGTTTCTTTTTTGGCCCCGAATCCAGCAGCGGCGGCAACTGATTCCTGCGGGTGCCTCGCCGAGTAAGGGAAGCCTGGCGCGGGAAGCTCACCTCGCGATCCCTCTTCGGCGGAAAGCGCGTCTTGCCCTCCCCCCATCGGCGGAAAAGCACGCGATAGGTTCGTTCGGACCCGGAGGAGGAGGAGGAGGAGGAGGAGGAGGAGGAGGAGGAGGAGGAGGAGGAGGAGGAGGAGGAGGAGAAGGCGGGAGGAGGAGGAGGAGGAGGATGGAAGAGGAGGAGGAGGAGGAGGAGGAGGGATGAGGAGAGGAGGAGGAAGGGGAGGAGGAGGAGGAGGAGGAGGCAGGGCAGGAGGAGGAGGAGGGGCAGGAGGAGGGGAGGGGGGAGGAGGAGGGGGAGGGGGAGGGGGAGGGGGAGGAGGGGGAGGGGAGTGAGATTTTATGTGTGTTGGAGACCCCCTTGACTAAGATCAAGTGTAGTATCTGTTCAGAGATGTGTAGTGCAGATAGCAGGCAGTAGCAAGCATGTTCGGACTGTAAATCGTATTAATGCTCAAGGATGCGGGTTCGCTAGCTACAAACATTTCAGTTTGGTAGCGGAGCTACGGCTCCAATACCACTCGCGCGCGGCCCACGCGCGCGGCGCCCCGCCAGGCGGCGCAATACTCGGGGAGCGACATCCTCGGCCTCGCGCTGCTGCAGCGCGACTCCGCGAGCATCCTTGAAGTGCTCTATTTCATCTTCATACTTGCGATCACCTACGTGGCGATCCTCGAGTTCTTCACTGCGGAGAACAGCTTCTTCAAGAGTGAAGGACGTGTATCCCTTACCCGGCCTGGTGGTCTACCAGGCGACGTTTCTCGTGGAGACCGACTCCACCACCGACGGCCGACGAGGCCGAACAGGAGCAGAAGTTGGATTTCGTATCTCTTGAGCATATTGACATGTCTTGCAGCCATGGCAGATTATAAGACACCTCAATCACTTCAGGAGTTCACTCGATATGTGCCGCCCGGCTGGAAGCCGTTTGATGACACGTACCCCTTCAAGGCCTATATGCAGAGACTACACTTGTGGTGGCGGCTGACGCCACTGGAGGAGCGAGAAGCAGGACTGGCCATGGCGGCACGCTTGTTGGATAGAACATTCACTATTGCGATGAATCTGGAGATCACACGGACTGGAACAGTTATCAAAAGTGACGTTGCGCTGGCAGTGGCACGTCAGGACGAGGAGCGCGATGCGAATGACAACATCACACAGGAGGCCAGAACCAGCGGCGCGGGTCACTTGATGCAGAAGCTGACGGAAGCCTTCGAAATTCACGACCAAGACACAAGGAGAGGATCTTGACAAGTTTCTGGACACTCGACGCGGCAATCAATCACTGCAGGAGTTCTTGCTTAGCTTTCGTGAGAGATATCAAGAGGCGAACGACAAGGCGGGCCTCACCATCAGCAATGTTGGGTTAACGCACATGTTGTTCAAATGGTGTGGCTTACCACAGAGACGTATCAGCGACACCAAGTTGCATATCGATGGAGATTTGGATAAGTTTCAGACCGTGTGTTCAATGTTGACAACGATTGCAAAACAGGAGATGGCGACTGGAAGTACGCATCACCATCACTACATGGATGACGAAGAATCGTTGCACTACGTTCTCTCGTACTACCAGGATTACGACGACGATGGTGACGATCTCATTGATTGGACTCATGATGAAGAGAGCGGCCTGTATTACAGAGAGTATTGGACATAATCTGGAGAGGCATCATACGGAGCTTACGACGGCGATGGCAACTGGTACGAGGCTGATGATATAGAGGCTTGGCTGACTGAGATGGATTTGGACCAGGCATATCAGATGTCAGGTTTTCGGCCTCGTTTTCGGTTCGGCGGCTACCGACGGAAAAGCAAAGGACGTTCAGGTAAAGGCAAGTCACGTGGCAAGAACAAGTCTCGTGGGCATGGCTTTGACAGAGGCAAAGGTCGATACAGCAGCAAGTCACACTTCGAGGAGCCGGCCGACGCGAGTCACTGGGGCGACAAAGGAGGCAAGAATAGGAAAGGCAAGCACGGCAACTCGGGCAATGCTGGTGGCAGCAGTGGCGGCAAAGGTAGCGGATGTACCACATGCGGATCAAGGTGGCGCAAGACCCAGGATTGCCCGGTTAATCGAGATCGACCTCAACCGCCTCAAGCTGGACAGGCTTCTCAGGGCTTTGCAACATCTTTCCACTCAGGTAGTGCTGACGGCTACGACTTGAGGATTAACCTTCATGCGTATGAGGATCTACCGATGAAGCAACCACCGTCAGCACCTTCTGTATCATCGAGTGGAGGTTCGTGGGATGTGCCGCCGTCACCATTCCCCGCGGACAATACTGAAGACGCTTCTGCACATCAGGGCTGTCCCGAGTACTTCATTGGCGAAGATGGATATGATGACGGCTACTGCGACGAGTTTTCTGAAGGCCATGCTTACGAAGAATACTCTCGATAATATGATGACGAAGATCACTAAGAATATCCTCATCGGCGTTTTTGCAAAGTTGGCAAGAACGGCAAAGGAAAAAGGCAAAGACGGCAAGACAACGTCGAAACCGAAGACCGCACTCCTGGACCCGATTGCGGAGACATCGGCACGACGTCAAGTGGAATGGCCAACCAAGGCAGCCGGCAGTGATGATGTCGGCCACTCAACTACATCTTCGAGATCTGCCACTACGGGATTTCTTTTCGACTTGCCTCAGCGTTCGAGCAGGCCGCCAGTGGACGACGACGATGAGCGACCGGCGGGCAGATCTTCTACTCCACCACCGACATCCACAAATGCACCTGCGGGATCTCCCTCAAAGGGCTCCTTCGCAGACATCATGCACGCGGCGTTGTTGAGCCAGCATATCTTTCATGAGGGCGATGACCCCCTGGATGGCAGTACGATGGCGTATCGCACAGTTCGCGGTGACAAACGACTTGGCATCATCATCGACCCAGGTGCGGCAAAAGGCCTGGGAGGCACCGAGACGTTGCGGGAGATCTGTCAGGCGTTGCTTTGGCCTAGCGGCAAGAGCTTGGAGGTCAAACCATCAGCGGCGAAATTGTCAAGCATCGATGGCGTACCGAATCCGTCAATGGGGCTCGGCAAGTTACCTCTCAACTTGGCGGCGCTTCCAAACTCGAGTTTCACTATGGACATGCTTGGAGGACGTGGCAGCTGCTGCCCCTTGCTCATGCCGCTGGACACCATGATCAACAACACGATGGGCCTGCTCACGGGCATCTTGCCGAACAAGGACGGTGTGTTGATCATCGATGCCCTCGACGGACTTTGGAATATGGCTCGACCGACGACCTTCATGAGGGCGTTATATGCTGACTCAGGTCATTACTTGTTTCCAATTGGTGATCCCGATGCTGGCGCCGGCCCTGAGCGAGTTCGGCTTCGACAAGCGGTGAAGGCATATGTCGACAAGGTGTTCGACGAGGATATGCCAAAGAGTACGACACTCACTCAGGAGACAGCTCTGATGGCACGTGTGGACAGAGAGCGCGAAGCACCAGCGCTGGCATCGAGCATCCATGTACTTGACTCGCACAGCGGAGCGTATAGCGGGAAGATGGTGACGGCACCTCGACGGGCCTATGTACCTGGCTCGCGCGGCGCGAAGCACAGCGGGAATATAGTGGCGATGTCTCAGCCAGCGACTGGTGCAATGACTGTTGATGACAATCGTGACGAGGAAGCACAGACCTCAGAGTAGAATGAGAGTGAGAAAGGAGACCGTCTACAATAGCAGTAACTACACCGACGCACCCCATCTTGACAGCAAGGAATATTAGAGAAGATGGTGTCAATGGAAGGCGCCCAGATGGACTGGTGCAAATCTCTGGCCGAAGACGATGAACACTTTCACGACGAAGCACCTGGAGACCAGTTATCGAGCAATGCCGGAGGAGTTCTACTTTGAGACTCAGCTGCCAGTGGTCACCCCTGACAATCTCGAGGACTGGATGAACCGCATGAGCATCGATCGCATCGAGGTGCAGGAGCGGATGTCAGGCAGCAGTAGGTTCAGTCGTCGTGCGGCCATGCAGGGTCTCACTGTGGGCTTCCCAGTGGACTATCGGTACGGCTGGGACATGGCAGACTCTCATCACCAGAAGTTGTTGACCGACTTTCGTAAGCGATGCTTTACCGATGCTACGTTGCGGCCACCAACGTGCACTCCATGGTCTATCGCCAGCCGGCGCAAGAATTCTACAGCCCTGGAAGCAGACAGGAAAAGCCAGGCACCAGCCATCATCTTCATGCGTGAAGACATTCGACAGACACTGGGCACCGAGCAGCACCACCTAGCAGAGAACCCTCACAACAGCGACTTCTGGACCAAGTCGAACTACACGGACATCGCCGACCTGAATATTATGAGGACGTTCATGGCTGATCAGTGTTCCTATGGTGCTACCAACGAGCTCGGCGAGCCAGTGAGGAAACGAACGCGATTGGATGCGACTTTCTCTCTTCGGGCCAGTACGCGACACTGCAGATGCAAAGTGTCACATGGTCATCTTGCCGGCGCGGTCGACGGCATCAAGCGCGCGGCCAAGGCAGCGGTCTTTCCCCCATCCTTCTGCGATGCTCTTGCCAAAGATATCCAAAGGATCTCAAGACTGCAGACATTCTGGGGCTGCGAAAGATGTCGACCAGGCACCGAGACGGAGGCAGCACGCGCGCGCAAGCCTGGAAATTGTAAGATGGCGCCAGCAGCACCTCTGAGACCAAGAGGGCTACCGAAGAAGCAGAAAAAACCATAAGTACCTCAATATCCAGATGATGAGCCACCAGGACCGGCAGCAGTACCAGCAGATGATCAACCTCAGGCTAAGTCCGAGCAGAAAGAACCAGAAGTACATCAATATCCAGATGATGAGCCACCCGAACCGGCAGCAGCACCAGCAGATGATCAACCTCAGGCTAAGTCCGAGCAGATCGATCAGGAGATCAAGGAGGAGCCCAAGGACGAGGACGAGGCGGCCATCAAACCACTCGATCCAGCTCCGATTGAGACACCTTTGCCAGTTCCGGGTGCTCCTGGAGTTGAAGTGCCTCCTCCTCCTCCTGAGCATCAGCAGCAGAATCCAAGGCGGAAGATCGGCAGGAAATCGGCTCCACCAGAACCTGAGATCGCAATGAAGAAGTGGTACGAGGTGAAGGCGAACTTCGACCTGAGCAAAATGGTCTCTCGACTTTTGGAGGCCACAGATCGGAAGGATATTTTGCGGTTACTGCTGGGTTTCCACATCAGATTCTGGCACGCGCCTGTGCCGGACATGATTGTGTTTTTGAAGAGCGCGGACTGCTGGACCAAGACCTTGGCAGCAGTCATTACCATGGTATGTATCGCATGTACGGTATGCAGAGACCACGCACGTCCACAGACAAAACCACGCGCAGGAATCACAGTTCCACTTCGATTCAATCATCGAGTACAGTTGGACATCTTTTTCATGTGGGACAAGGCGTGGACTCTCATTATCGACGAACTCTCTCGATATATGGTGGCAGACTTTATCGCAGATCGCACGCCAAAGGAGCTGTTGACCATTCTCATGAGATGCTGGATCCGATACTTCGGGCCGATGAAGGTGATGGTTCTCGACCAAGAAGGTGGACTGGTATCAGACCTGAGTTCGAGGACGTGCGACAAAATGAACATCGAGAGGCGATGCGCGGGCACCGACGATCACACTATGACAGGCCTCGTGGAGAGATGGATTCAGTTGGTACGATTATGCGCCATGAAGCTCATGCGGACGTGCACCATGCAAGGTTTTGAGGTATCCGACGTTGAATTGGTGCAGGAGCCGGCCATGGTTTCGAACGGCATGGTCAGCTACGGCGGCCAGACGGCGTCTCAATTGGTCTTGGGCTTCACACCGAATGACTATTATGACCTCGAGGCTACCGCCCTGGACTCCGTGCAGGGCGCCGACGTCAGCTGTCCGGACCCCTTTGAGGCAGCGGTCAGGCTTCGTCTTCTTGCGAAGTCGGAGATGGCGCGAGCGATCGTCGAAGATAGAATTGCCCGAGCGAGCAGGACACGTGTGCAGCAGATCGGTCCTCAGGACCAGCTCAGGGTAGGTGACAGCGTGGACATTCACAGGGTTCCCGAGCGGAAGGACCAGTCGGGCTGGCGCGGCCCGGCGGAGTTGGTGAAGATCTCAGAGGGCACGGCCATTATCGTTTGGAATGGAATACCATATATACTTCCTGTGAGGCATGTGCGCAAACATCTGATCGGGTTCTTGGCTTTTCAAACCTCAGCCCCGACTCTCGAGGACAACAGAAACCTCGACACCTTCAGGAGGCTGATGGACATCGTCGACGGCAGCATCTACGGACAAATGACACGACTCGGCAAGACGATTGGCCAAGATGGACAGACAAAATGCACGGCATATATCAAAACCCTGGTGAACCTTCAGCCCTGGAAGTTGAGCATGATCACGCACGAGACCATCTTCCAGCTGAAAGGTATCGACGGCGTTATATATGGCACATCGCTGCGTCGGATCCCATCATTGTTCGGTGTCAAGTTTGGTTTGCTTACGCTGTGGGAAAGAAAGGGCCACGCTAATTATTTCACCTTCGAAGTGGACCCGAGCAAGGGTGTGATCATTAACAGCTTGACGACTCTCAAATGGGAGAACACTTCCTTTCTTATGTTCTATTCGATGCCAGCTCTGGTCGACCCCTTCTTGGACGAGCACAGAGTACCAGACATGGAAGACCTTTCTCGCATCGAAGTGGCACCTGACAGCGTTCGAGATGTGGGTCGCGATGTGGCGGACATGATCAGCTTATTACCTGACCTGGACGACTGGATGGACGCTACGGCGGCTGTGCCACCTGCCGAGAGAAGCAGATTGAATGAGACCCTCACGGAGCTTCCTCTTCCTCCACCCGCTGTGCCACCGCCTCAGCTGCAGGGGGGTCCTCTTGCTGTGCGACTGGACACGGCGCCACAGCGAGTTGAGCCAGCATCACATGCGCAACCGACAGCTCCAGTGGCAGGAAACGAAGACATTCGAATGCATCCAGTACCTGACGAATCCGATCATGATCTGAGTTTGGACAACAGCAATCTGGAAAGAGAGCTGAGCAGAATGATGGAACAGCGAGAACCTCTGGCTGCTCCAGCTCATCAGGCACCACCACAACCGCAACCAGCTCCAGCACAACCTGCTCCAGTACAACCGGTTCCAACTCCACTGCCAGCACCCGGGGCCGACGATGTGGACCTCACGGGCGAGTTGAGCGACATGATGCAGCGTGAGAGCAGCACAGTCTCCACCTGACGACGCTGCTGGAGACCGATCGAGATCGATACACATCATACCAGCACCAAGAGCAGTCGAGCAGGGAGGTCGAGCGAGTGATGCGGTTATGGACGACAGGACAGTTCACGACAAGCGTTCTCGCCGAGACGTGGCAGAGACGAGCGCACTCAGTCTGGGGCCAAGATATCCTCGCCATCGGATTGACGACTTGGAACATCACGAACCACATCCGCTAGCAGATCAGCAGGCACCGGCCGCTCAAGTTTCCGAGGTTGCTGAAGATCACACTCATGTGCAAGATCGAGCACCTCCTGAGCTGCTGGTACCGGCACCTGAGCAGAACACCACAGGTGACTTGGAGAGGGAGCTTGGCGACATCATAGACCAGGCTGAGGAGGGCGCGCAGACGGACGACCATATCCCGATACAAGATGGAGATCTCTTCGCTCGCCACAATACTCTCAACAGCGCCATCAATTGGCGCAGCGGCGAAGAGGACATGATCAACAAACTGAAGGAAACATACATGGGCGATGTTGTATCCAACCTTCTCGAGGATCATGCAGAGACGCACTCCTACTACTTGACGAGCATCCAGAAAGGCGAACTTCCCTGGTTCTTCGCAGGCCCTGTGGACGATCAAGGGGCCATGGAGGCAAAGTTGTTGCTTCTTGTTCTGTATGCGTACCGGCGAGGTTCAAAGCCACGTCGGCGTCGAGGGGACTGACAACCTGAACGAGGAGGACGTCCTGACCCACTGGCAGAAAGTAGAAGAGGCAGACCTCAAGGAGCTGGGTGCCTTCGTTGACCACAAGGTCTTCGCGTGCCAGGCGAGACGCTCGATGGGAAGCAGCAACATCATCGATGCGGTGTGGGTCAGGAAATGGAAATATGACGTGAAGCTGAAAGAGTGGAGCGTCAAGAGCAGGCTGCGTGGACGCGGCTTCCTGGACAAGCAGAAGCACGAGATCCAGCGACACTCGAGCACGGCGAGCAGGTTGAGCCAAAAGCTTATTGTTTCGACCGCTCAAGTACACGAGGGCTTCGAGCTCGAGAGCTGGGACATCAGCACGGCATTCTTGCAGGGCCTGAGCTTTGATGAGATCAGGTGTCGAGCGCAGGAGTTGAAGATCAACTGTGAGACGGTGCGCAAGGTGTTTCTGGCTCCTCCGCCGAATGTCTGGCGATTGCTGGACAAGTTACCACGCAGCGGCATTCACGTGAAAGAATGGGGCGTTGAGCTGTTTGTATTGGAGTTGCTTAAACCGCCCTCTGGCAAGTTGCCCTGGCGTTATACCTGGTGGACGTTCTTCGTTCTAGGGTGAGTCTATGGGACGAGAACTTTGTCTACTGGACGCATGCTGATTTACCGGACAAGATCCGAGATCGGGCTCAAGAGGCACGCTCCATTGACGGTGTGGCAGCAGCTCTATCCATTTATGTTGCTGATCTTCTATCAGCTGGTCACTCCAAGCATCTCGAGTACTTCCTTGAACTGCTGGAGGCCAAGTTCGGAGCAGTAAAACGGCAACAACTTCCATTCACTCGCAATGGTGCACAATACTCAAGACTGAAGGACGGCACGATACAATTGCAGCAGATCGACCACCTGAGCAACATATCCTTCTGCCAAGTACCGGACGGAGCTGATGATGAGATGGTGTCAGGAGTATACGCTCATGGTTTCAGAAGTATCTTGACGTCGATGTTGTTCCTGTGTCAATGTAAAATTCATATCGTGACGGAGGCAGCTGCAGGGCTTCAACAATGAGCCTAGGATCGTGCACCTGAAGAGGGCGAACGCTCTACTGAAGCGAGCTCAGAGTGACACGGCCTTGGTTGGACTACATTATTCGTTTCTGAGTCCACCGTTCTGCTTGCGATCTGTGGGCGACGCCAATCATACTACGAAGACGTCGGTCTTCCCTCAAGAGGGCCAGTTCGTGCTTCTGATGGAGGATGAGGAGTTGAACATTGACAGCTCACATCTTCTTCGTGATGCGACGTCGCTTTCTGGCAAATGTCACGTGCTGACGGCCATAAGCAATAAGGCGAAGAAGGTTACACATTCCACTTCCATGGGCGAGGCCAACTGCGGATTGGCCGTGGTGTCGGGAGCGCAGATAGTGGCCATGAGGTTGACTGAGATGCACTTAGCTCTAAAATGTACGACCAAGCAGATGATCACCGTTCTCATCGTGATGAGCAACTCAGGCCAGTACGTACTACCAATCGATCATCTTACAGACTGCAAAGACATGTTCGAGCTTGTGACAGGCTTGAAAGGAGTTCCTCAGGATCGACAGCAGAGGTTGGCCATCATGGCCCTGAGAGAAGAACGAATGACAGGACGAGTACGATATACCATACACATTCCAACGGACGTGATGCTCAGTGACGCGCTGACGAAACCTGGTGTCTTTCCTCAGCTCATGTACCTGTTGACGACGGGCATTGCGAAGTTTTACGGCAGCAAGAAGGTCATTACCTGCAAGCAGTTATCACATCGACCAAGCGCTTTCTCATAATCAGATTTGGAGAGCATCCAGAGATCCGACTAGCATGGACCACTGTGAGTGATGGATCAGATATTTGTATACTACGCTGTGTTTCAGAATTCAGGAAGTCTTGGGGTATCTCAGATATCTCGCTCTGATAATTGGTGTTGTCAGTGAGCACTACTAGTTTTTATGCATGATAAGTTGGACATCGTCTTCACTGCGATGTGTATTTATGTTCAACTCAACTGTGGTGAGTACTCATGTACATCTTCATTGCGGTGTGTACTGATGTACACCTCCGACGACAATGTAGCGTGTTCTAGGCACCGCCAGGCCTCCTTGCGATCCTCTGGCACAGAGTTTCCTAGAGAGTAGAATGAGAGTGATATTTTATGTGTGTTGGAGACCCCCTTGACTAAGATCAAGTGTAGTATCTGTTCAGAGATGTGTACTGCAGATAGCAGGCACTAGCAAGCATGTTCGGACTGTAAATCATATTAATGCTCAAGGATGCGGGTTCGCTAGCTACAAACATTTCAGTAGAGGGGGAGGGGGAGGGGGAGGGGGAGGGGGGGGGAGGGGGAGGGGGAGGGGGAGGCAGGAGGCAGGAGGCAGGGGGGAGGGGGAGAGGGAGGGGGAGGGGGGAGGAGGAGGAGGAGGAGGAGGAGGAGGGAGAGAGAGAGCGACCGCTGGCGAGGACGAGCTGTGCAGCGACCAGCAGCCACCCGAGAGGTGCCGGCTGCATCCCCCCCGTCGTTCGTGCGGGCTTCCGCTCGTGTGGTTTCCACTCCCGTTTTTTCCTTTCCACTGGCCCTTGCCGCTTTCAAGGTTGTCCCTTCCCCTTTGCCTCTCGCCCCCTTCCCTTGCCCGTGCTCTTCTGGTTTCCCCATGCCTTTCCCTTTTCTTGCCTGGCTCTCCTCGCTCTCCCCGTCCCTCCATGTCCGTCCTCCTCGTCGTCTGCCTCTCGCTCTCCCTCCTTCCCTTTCCTCGTCTGCTTCCCTCTCCCCCCTCTTCACCTCTCGTGTCCGTTTCACTTCCTTTCCCCCCTCCCACTCGTCGCCCTTGCTCCGCTCCCCAGTCTCTGTATTTTCTCCTCTTCATCCGTGCTCCTCTCCAATTCGTTCGTCTCATTTTGCAGCTCGCCCCCTATTTTTTGCCCTGTTCCTCTTCTCCCCGGTCTCGTTTAGTCATCTTCTCTCCCTTACTTTCCTTACTTTCCGGCACGTTTTCGCCTCGTATCCACTTCCATCCCATTCCTTCTCGCACTCCCTTCCGCCCTGCCCTCCTCTTTTCCTCCTTCAATACTTTCCCCACTGTCCTCCCCCCCCATATGTCCCCTTCCTCTAGATTCAAAGTGGAAGAGTCGAGGTACTACCGAGATATCTCGCCAAACCCACACACCACTCGAGAATCTTCTCCTCCTTCATACCTTCCCCGTTGTCCTCTCCCCCCCTTGTCCCCTTTCTTTAGATTGGAGTGGAAGAGTCGAGGTACTGCCGAGATGCCGCACCAAACCTACCCACCACTCAATCTGAAAAGGTTGGCCCCGTCTTTTTCTTTAGTGTCAGTGCATGTGGCCTTCCTGTGCGGTACTCTGTAAGAGCTCATGCAATGCGCGCTGCTGGAAACGTTCCGTCGGGCATGTCCCCCTACAGGGGGATTTTGGACGACAAATAAAATAGCCCAAAAAGATTCAAACATAGTCAAACATAGTCAAACATCGTCCCCAGATTATTTTTTGACTATTAAGCACGTTTTGCTGGATGGAGCGATGAGCTGCGCGAGGTGGCGAATGGGCTTGTGGAAAGCCATTGGTTCCCCTGCGGTTCGCGCGAGTGCGCGCGCGCAGGAGCGCTCTGGGCGATGGTTTGATCGGCGGCGAGCGAGGAGGGGAAGTGAGAAGGAGAAGGCCTTCTCAGAATGTTCGGAAGTCTCCCCGTCCTTCTGAGAATTGTTCTCTGAGCCTTCCCCGAAGACAAGAGAAACTTCTCGGAAGGCGCGAGGGCTTCTGAGAAGATCCGCCGTCGCTCGCCGCCAAATTGAGAGTGTTGAGGCCCATGATCGGCAACTGGAACATGTATATTACCAGCGGCGAGCTGTTTTTC